CGTGATCGGCCATACCAGAGGGAAAAAAGTCCTGAAGAGCTGTTATAGGGCAACAGACCGCAGTACGGAAGTCTCTAGGGGCATCCCAAAAAACGGTTCGGAAGCCCTATGTTCCACTGTGTGGTCGTGTGACACAAAATGACCACTCTGCATTGGCTTTTGGTCATGCTGTACCAACTCTGGGTACCTCACAGCAACAATGGCTTTGTATGTGAATAAGGACTCGCGAACTGTTGGGTAGAATGATGCCCCATCGATGGGGGCCTTCCAATCCCGGTGCTTCCAAAGTGTTGGTGTACTCTTGAATTCAAATTCTTCAGGCGCGACAATTAGGAGGAACTGACGACGTTTATGGTTCTTTGAAGGGTGAGGGGAGGTCAAAGTCGATTGCTGCTACCTGTTCGCTTTCCCACAATTCCAGCAGTGCCACCAGTTGCTGATAGGTGAGTGGGGGAGGGTCGTATTTTGGCATGGCGTCGCAGACCAATGACAGGAAGGAAATTCGGATGAGCCATTGTAGTTGCCAATCCGCTGTGAAGAGCTGTTAATGTGAGAGGACTCTGAGAGGCTGGCTTAGGCGATTGTGTACAGCAAACACGACCCATTATTGTTTTCTTGGCAACGCAGATCGTGTGTCTCACTTCATTGGGTGGCAACTAATTCGTTTGCTGCATGTTTGCGAGTCTGTTGCGACACAGTGGGTTTTTACCACTGTGTCCTTGGCAAATCTTTTCTGTGGTTGTTTCAAACCGCCTAGTTTCTACCACTTCGTCTGCCGCTGGAGCAACTGCAAAATTGCAGTCATTGTTCAAACTGGCTGTGGCTTCCGACGTCATGCAGTTGTATGCAGTTGTGAGATCCAAAGGTGCAGACTCATGGATTAAAGTCCGCAGCCCCCTGCTGGTATTGAACGCAATCACAGTGCATGGTAGTGTCGAACATACCAGACTCACCAAGTCTACAGATGTCATCAAGTTGGGACAAAACGTTCTTTGTCCATGCAGTCGTGAACTCGTCATTCTGCTTTGTTATCGGTGTTACTGGTGCAGGGTTGCCCCCTGTACTGCCTCCTTGTTTTCAGCTTTCTACTTAATTCCATGAGATTGAGCTGATACCTGATTGCTATAATTTCTGGGTGTTTTGCAGCAGAACTCGTCAACAATCCCACATGCTGAGAAAGGAAAAAGACCGAATGCCATGTCCATCTTTTCAATGTAGAAAGTGTCGTAGATCAGCGAAAGATTCTGTGCCCCAGATGCACGCACTCTTCATTGCCCTGCACGAGCTGGCAGCGACAGGTGCAAAGTCTGCAGTTTGTTTTGTGTCAGACTCATGGACCAAGGTCAACTGGCTCTTGACGGAGGGGCGTTTGAACAAGACTTTCTCCAAATGTTGGCCTCACATATCATGCAGTTGCATGCAGTTGTGAGTCAATTACTCAATTGACACTGTGTCAAGTCACTACAGACGAAGTTGATACCGCCACCAAACTGCTCGACAAGGCATGCCAGAAGCTTCGCGGTATCCAAGACGTCCCATCCCAGAGGATCACTGACCTTGAAGCTGCCATACGCCAGATGCGTCAATTGAGCTGTATCTTAGATAGTGCACGATCTCCGCCAGTTACGAAGTTAGCCAGGCGCCACGCACAGCCAAAGGTGCTAGCACGTCATCTGAAGAGCTAAACGCCCAGATTTCACCACGCACAGATGAACATAATCTTCCAGCCCATGAAGACTATTGGCAAGAGGACTAGAGTACCGGAGTTGACCGCAAATCTTGGCAGCTCTCCAAGTGAACCGTTTTGGGCACCGTGCCCATCAACAAGCACCGTTTGAGGATAGCTTAGGCTACTATCCAAGATATGATGATTGGAAAAGCACTGGGCTGCCTTGCCCCTTCATCATTTCTCACATTAGCTCATGTCTCACTGTCCGTTTCACCTTTCTTTTCACCACTCTCGTTGCGACACGGCTTCGTCGTTGTTTGCTTCGAAGTGACTATATGTGAGCTGTTATGCCTGACGGCTTGCGCCAGGTGATCTCGGGGATCCTGGCTGGGGGGATCCCTGGTTTCCGCATGGTGCTTTTGTTGCTTCGCTCACCTCCTGGTATGGCCTTGTGACTTTGATTTTCTTCTCTTTTGTTTCTGCTGCCATACCTTGTCAAGATGATACAATGTTATCACTCTTGTATTAATTAGCCCATGAACTGGCACCTGTCACGCCTCTGTTTGGCTGTTTTGTTTTGGGTTGCTGTGTTTTGTTTTGTTTGTGTGGGTTTGTTTTCGGTTTTTGTTGTTGTTTTTGGATTGTGATGACTTCGTGACAGACTGGACTATGTACAGGTCCTTTACCAGATCACTCTTGAAGCCTCTCAATCTGCAGGCGGCCTTGTATGCGTTAATTAGCTAATTCACCCTAGTTTGCAACATGCAATTGAACGTGTTGGACGACCTGGCGGAAGCCATGAAGGCGTTGGACGGAAAAAAACAGTTGTATGCAGTTGTGAGATCCAAAGGTGCAAACTCATGGAGTAAAGTCCGCAGCCCCCTGCTGGTATTGAACGCAATCACAGTGCATGGTAGTGTCGAACACACCAGACTCACCAAGTCTACAGATGTCATCAAGTTGGGACGAAACGTCCTTTGTCCATGGTCGTGAACTCGTCATTCTGCTTTCTCTCCAGATGTTGTCGGTGTTATTGGTGCAGGGTTGCCCCCTGTGCTGCCTCCTTGTTTTCAGCTTTCTAGTTAATTCCATGAGATTGAGCTGATACCTGATTGCTATAATTTCTGGGTGTTTTGCAGCAGAACTCGTCAACAATCCCACATGCTAAGAAAGGAAAAAGACCGAATGCCATGTCCCTCGTTTGAGTTTAGAACAATTCGCTAGCGTGATGCTGTGAAAAATTCCTTGCCAAAGATGCGGTGGTGTTTCTCTCCCAAAACCGTGATGGGTCAGTGCAACTCTTCTCTTTCTCGATGTGTTGAGAACTGCCCAGTTCCCCCGAGAATTGAGAACCGATGTCCATCACTTTGCAGTTGGAAGATGCTCTCGATTCCCGCTGTCTATGCAGATTGTTGGCATCATTTCTTGTTGCGCGCCAGTCCAAGAGATGGTGCAGTTTTGTGCGTGCAGTTGGAGCAGGGTTGCTCCTAGCCTGCCTTCTTGTTTTCACTGTGCCGATGGAACATGATGAAACGCAATTCAATCGATGTTAGCTTGTCGAGCAGTCGAGCACTTCATTTTTTTCTGGAATACGATGCAGGGATGTTGTATTTTCCAGTTGAAGGTAGAGCTTGTCAAAAATCTCGCGCTCCCCCTCATATTGGTGTTGAGTGTAGAGACTCTAAAAGAAGCGTTGGATTTTGAGCCAAAGATATTGGCTC